CCCGCGTGCTCCAGTTCTTCCTTTCTCCGAGAAGCCCCCGTCAACCCCCAGGAGCTCCTAACTTTTCTACGCCCTCTGCCGTCCCCATTCTCAGGACAGTGCCTCATCTCTCGGACACCTGGGCAGCAAAACTTTCCCGAGGAGCCGTCTGTAATCGCCACTCCCCGGGGTCCCTGCCAATCCTCCCGTTCCAGGGGTCCTCGGGCTCACGGTTGGAAATGCTTTGTTGGGGTCCCCAGAACCTCCTGCAGGCAACTCAAGACGGCACCTGGCTACACCGTCACGATCACTCCTCCTCAAACCGTCTCCTGTTTCTTTCGGATTGCCCCTTATATCCCCCCCCCCCCCGGGCCCCTTTCCAGTCACTTTGGCGAGTCCTTCCGCCTCTGCGCACCCGGGGAGGGTGGGGCTGCACCTGTTCTCTTCCTTCTCCACCCGGTCTCTGTAGGTGACCTCCCCTGAGCCCAAGACAGGATATCCGCTTGTAAGTCCGTTCACTAGTAAACTTCAACCGCTCAAAAAGGAACATTTGTGCCACAATTGCTGCTACCCTCCACCCCTACCCTCTCCTACTCTCCTCAAGCACAATCCTCTCAGTCACATCCCTTTCCTTCCCGTTTCCTTTGCAGCACTCATCACTCGATGAAATTATCTTTCTACTTGGTATGTGTTTCTTTGTGTCGTTGGTGTCGTTGTGTCCCACGTGGAAGAGAAATAAAGCGACCAGCACACACACTTTGTCCAGGAGCAGCTAGCTCAGTGGTCCTGAAGTGTGGCTGGGGAGCCCGGCAGCCTCAGATCACCTGGAAACGCTTCAGAAATGCAAATGCTCAGGCCCTGCCACCCCAGACCTAGTGGGGTCCAGCAATCTGTGTTTTAACAAGCTCTCCAGGGGATTTAAGGTTTGTGAACCGCTAGCCCAGCTCCAGGTCTGATGCTCCATAGGTCTCAGTTGAATTAAAGGATCACAGGTGTTCAATATAAATTAGCTTCTTTCATAACTAGAGGTCCCCTGGGGAGGTGTCAAAACCAGGGCTAGATTAATGTAAAAAATAAATGTGGTGTGTGTTCTCATGTGCAAGACCAGTGATTTTCAACTGGTGTGCTGCCAGCATTTTTAAAACGTGCAACACCTGACTACTTAGTCAGTGGCACTGACCTCTTTTCATTGAGATTGTCAAATAACAAAGAAATGACAGCAGCCAACACAATAGCTGTCCAGTATGAATGAATCAAAATCATACCTCTTTTTTGGTCAGGTTGGCAAAAAATACATATTTTTTGATGTGCCGCAGAATTTTAGTTATCAGTCTATGTGTGCCATGAGATGAAAATGGCTGACAATTGGTGGCACAGACTATCTGGGAATGAATACAATAAATCGGTGTAATGGTTATCGGTAAGGAGGGGAACCAGCTCCTGGGAATCAGAGTGAGGAGAAAGGCTTACGTTTCAGTGAATACTTTTTTCCATACAGGGGATTTTGTAATGTATGGCCTATCTATTCAGATAAAAGCCGAAACGCACTTAAACGGAACCTGGCAGGCGTTTTCCTTTCCCAGCCCTTTTTCCCCAGGCAGCCTGGCTTCGACTTTCTGGCTAGGGGACCGAAGAAGAGCAAGGCTGCTGTCACCAGAGAACTCTGCCCCCTGCTGGCTGTTCCCCACAGGGCTCCCCGGTTTCTGGGTTTCTGGGTTCCTCCTTTTCACCTTCTCCCTTGCCCCTTTCTCCCTCAGTTGGCTCCAGTCGTAATGGATTCCGTCAGTTCCAACTTGGCTTCAGGACCTTTGCACGCGCTTCTCCTTCCCCAGAAACTCTCTCTGCGTAGCCAGACCCACTCCTAGTCATCCCTGGCATCTTATTTAAATGCTCCTTATCCCAACATGCCTCCCCGATCAGCACCCCCCCCCCGGCCAAATTGAACCCTGTCACACACTCCTTAGCATCAGGAACTTCCTAAGTGTGTTCTATTATAGCCTTTATGTGCCGTTGTGGGTTTGTGTGATTATTTGGTTTGATTAGTGCCTGTCTCCCCCATCATGGGGGCAAGGGCCTCATGATGGGGCCCATGCCTGCCTTGTTCTTAGCTGTATCCCTGTCTAGTCCTGTTAGTCTGTCTGCTTCTGGCCTCAGGACCACTTCCCTGCAGATCTGTCCTTATCCTGACAAGCTTTCCTTTCCAGCTCTTCAGTCATGAGTCCTCCTGGTGGTGAGAGTTTTTTGCATGTCTCTCTGAGCCCTGATTTCCTCATTTATAATTTTTTGGGAAAGTATTGACCTCTTAGGATTGTTGGGGGACACTGGTGGGGGAAGACTCCATATAGGTGTTAAGCGTGTAGTAGGTGCGTACCTTTCAGGACAGTGGCTAGGCACTGAGCCCATCATCATTTCCCTCACCCTTCTCAGTTTTGTGGCAGATTCCTAAGAAGCATTTTCAGAAGAGTGGTAAGCGGGTATTAGGACTACTCTTTATACATCAGTCGAGTTAGTAACAGGTCCCATTTATTAGGCCAGACCTTATATTGCTTCGTATGCATCATCTTATTTAATTCTTATAACGATCCTGTGAAGTAGCAACTATCATTATTATCTCTTACTCCTTAGAACCAGACTTAACCAGAGGTTAAATGCCCAAAGTGTTATTATACAGAAAAGTCAGGTCTGTTTTATTCACCCACTCAGCAGTCATTGAGTGTCCACCATGTTCAAGCCCTGTGCTCAGCAGTTGCAGTTATGATGATGAGAATGAGAAAGAAGGGGTGTGACTAGTCAGGGAGATCCAGGAAGGCTTTGGGAGCAGGAGATAGCAGGGCTGGGTGTTTGGCTTAACTCTCTGTCCACCTTTTATTTTTTTTAATGAAAAAAATTAATGATACTTGAAAAATAACTAAATAAAAAATTTTAAAAAAGAACTAGTCTGAATAAAGGAAAAAAATTAATGGATTGATTTTAGAGAGATAGAGGAAGGGAGACAGAGAGAGACATCAATTTGTTGTTCCGTTGATGTAAGCATTCATCAGTTGCTTCTTATATGTGCCCTGATCTGGGATCGAACCTATAATCTTGACATATCAGGATGATGCTCCAACCGAGTACCCAGCCAGGGCTCTGCCCACCTTTGAACTTAGGTTCAAGTTAGACTCTTTGTCCACCACTGAAACCCCAGGACTGCAGGAGGTTCCTGCAGTGCCCTTTAGCCCTGGTAAGATCTCCAAGGAAGGGTCACTCTGCAGAGGCCTGTGGTAGAGAAGTTCTGGCCCGGACACATGTTAGAACCCCGAGTTAAGGATATGGCTCAGAGGACCCATCTCCTCTGTCCCACGCTGACCCCACACAAAGGGCTCCCCTACCCTCCACCCCGGGACTGGTCGTGGGGAAGCAATCACAGAGAGACCATTTCTCACAGCCCACGGGGGATGACAGAACCCTAAGGGAACACAGAGGGGACCTAGATGTCCTCTAGACATTCAGGATGGTGTCCAAGGAGATATTTGAACAGGGTTGTGGAAGGTGAGTGAAGGCTTGGAAGTCGGGTGCAGCCAGCGGCATTCCAGCTTGGAGGAACCGAGGGCTGAGGTTCTGGTGTCTGGAATCCCCAACCTCTGCTAGGTGACCTCATCCAGGTATGAAAGGGACAATACTGGAGCTACCTCATAGAACGGGTGTGAGGTTCATGCAACGTTGCATTAATGTAAATCTCTCGGAACAGTGGCCAGCACAGATTAAGGGTGCAGTACAGGTTAACTCCTGTTGATAAGGAACTCGCAATTGCAGCAAAGTGTTGCAAAACCTCCTGCATAGCAGGTGAGGGAAGGGGCGTGAGGAGGAATGTGGGCAAAGGTCAGACCAGACAGGGACTCAAATGGCAGGATGAGGACTTTTTGAAAATTAAGGAATGACATACACGAGCCAAAGGATTGGTAGAGCAGCAAGGGGAGAGGGCGGGAAACGAGCAGCCAGTGAAGAACCGAGGCATAACCCGGCAGAGTGGAGGCGGGCAAAGCATCCGTTTTCTGGGTCTTTGTTTTTAAGTAGGCCAGGTAAGGTCTTTGACCTAGGGCGGCAGCCGCGATGCGTCCTTCTGTGAGAGGGTGGCCGAAGGCGGACGCCCCGTAAGGCCCCAGAGGCAGATGGCCGCACGCCTCCTGGTGGCCACAGGAGGTGGGCTCAGCCGAGAACAACGGAGACTACAAACTCCGGGAAACTGAGGCGGGCAGCGGGGCGGAGGGCGGAGGGTGTATGGGATCTTCCAATTGGACCCCGTCCCTAGTTCAGCTACGTTTTACAGACAGGGAAACTGAGAGGGAAGGGGAACAAGGATTGGTAAGGAGTCTCTCAAACCAAGAGCTTCAAAACACCAGGTGTTAAGAGTATTTAGAATTGTTTTTTAAAATGGCATCATTGGCCTGGAGCTTAGTTTGCCTTTCCGTTCAACGGGCAGGCGGAAAAATGAAAGAAGAGGAAGAGAAACTTAAGTCTTTCCCGCCCACCCGGAGGTAAAAGCCTTTAAAGAGTACCCCGGCAAGCAGAGTTTTATGGATTCTATTTGCATACGAACGCAGTCACCTCGAGTTAAACTCGGCCCTTTAATCTCCGGTCCAATTTGTCCCGAAGCCGCGGAGGGAGACCCTCTGGGGGACCTCAAACTCCGCCCCCCGGGCCCCGCCCCCAGGGCTGGGCTTTGGTGCACGTGCTCACCGGGTTCCTTGGCGACCCACCTCCTAGGAAGGACTCATTGTCAGGGCGGGGAGATGCCAGGAGTCAGAGGAAAGTTGACTGTGGATAAATCGCAATGAAGAAAAGGCCCTGAAACAATATTTGTTACATTTTGACTGAAGTTTTTATTAGGATTTGTGATTGAGACAGGCCTTGGCTTTCCCTCATCAGAGCTGCTAATTGTTCTTCCCACCCCTTCAGTTGCTGGAGTCCCGCGTGGCCGGCCTCGCGGGACGGACTCCAATTCCCAGCGTGCCCCGCAGGCCGGAGCGTGGCAGCGGCGCATGACGTCGGGGGAGGGAGCTGGCCAGTGCTGAGGGGGCGCGGCGCAGAGGGGCGCGGAGCCGGGCGCCTCGGGCCCCAGAGAGCGCGGCGGCCTGGAGCCCGCAGGCCCCTGACAGCCCCCTCCCCCCGGCGGACGACGACGAGGGCGCCAGTCATGGCGGAGCAGCGAACCGAGCGCGGGCCCTGAGCACCACCGCATGGAGCGGGAAGAACGGCCGCCTAGCGGAGGGGGAGGCGGCGGGGGCTCCGCGGGGTTCCTGGAGCCGCCCGCCGCGCTCCCTCCGCCGCCGCGCAACGGTGGGTGAGGGGCGTGCGGAGTCCGGGCCGATCAAGAACCTGCCCCCCCTGTCCCCCAATCCGGGGGTACCTGCCCTCTCAGCCTGCTATTACTCGGGGAAGCTGCAGCGGCCCCGGGTCTCCTCGGGGTGGACCTTCACCCCGATCCCCGCAGCGCGGACCCTCTCTCTCCTCTCCCGTCTTAGTCAGTGCGCACCCTCTCTCTCCCCCCTCGTTCTCAGTGCAGATCTTCTGGTTCCCTCTCCTCCGACCTTCATTTCTCTCTCCCCCAGCCCTTCTGTGTGAATTCTCCCCCCCACCCCCACCCCCGGGTCCCTGCTTCACGGACCCCTCTCCCCCTCCCCCGGTTCTTTCGGAGCTGAGCCCTCCCCTTCCCCTGGGTCACCTCACCCTGGATCCTCCCCCAGCCCCGCACCTCGGGTCGGTCACTCGGGGCTTCCCCTCCCCCTCGGGTCTCCTCTGCCTCAGCCTCCTCTTCCTATGCCCCAGCCCCCGTACCCTCCGTGGGGGATCTCTCCCCATTAGCGTCCCTTCCGCGCGGAGCTATCCCCTCCCCCCAGTCCCCTCGGTGCTCCCTCCGCTGATGCTCCCTCCAGGTTCTGCGGACTCCACACCATGCCCTTGGTTCTCGCTGCCCCGTACCTTTCTGGAGAGGCTTCTGCAGCCCCGCACTTCCCTCGCGCCCCCACCCCGGTACTCGACCTTTGCGCCGACCCTCAAATCGCTAGTTACTCAGCCAGCGTTTCCTTTTCCGACCCTTTGGCGTGCTCCGCGCCCCATTTCTCTCTGCGCCTTCCCCTTCTGTTAGGCGACGACTTTCTACTGGCTCGGATCTCTGGCCCGATCGGGTGCTCGGGACACCTGTCTCCCTCGTCTACCGGCTGGTCGGGGTCCGCGCCCGTGCCTGCCCGCCCCAGTGCTGCACGTCCTTCTCGCGATCTCGGACCCTGAGCTCTGAGAATTTCTCACCTGGCCCGGCCCTTCCGACCGCTCTCCCCTGCCCCTCTCTCCGGGCGAAGTCCTCAGGTTCCTCGGGGCTGTTTCTGGGGCTGGCTAGTCTTCTACCCCCTGGCTCCCCCCGCCCCCCCCGGGACGTTTTATTTGTATCTGTTTGATATTTCCCCCCCCGATCGTGTTTGCCGCGGAATGTTTTTATTGGTAAAGTGTAAGGAGCTTTTGTGAGGTCGTAAAAGGTGAACTTTTGAACTTGGAAAGCGCCCTGGAGCAATTAGCGCAGGCGATAGCCCCAGGAGGCCCGCATTACAAAGGGTGCTCGTACGGGCGGGCAAACGCTCCCGCAGCAAACCCGATTTATTTATTTATTTGCCCTGCCTTCCACCTTTCACATCATTTCCGAATAAAGGGCAGGCTCTCGGAGAACCTTGCCTCCTCCCCTCTCTGCGCCATAAACTCGCAATTCTCTGAAAGATCTGGGACAGTGTCTAACAAGTAACAGATTTCAAATTGAATGCAAACACCCGGGACAGTTAGGAGGCACTAAAAATTAATTGCTTCAGCAAGAAGTTTCTTAGTCAGGACAGTGACCTGGCAGGTGTGAAGAAAGTAACCTGAATATAGGTCACTTAGGGCGCTCAATTGTTGAATGAATGAGCTACCGAAGGAGAGGAATCTTGGGGTGGATCTGAACCTTCATACGTTTATTGCCAATTCAGTAGACCTCTTTTTTTTTTTTTTTTTTTTTTTTACCAGTTAAGGGAAAGGTCTGTTTAGAGGCGATCCTGGTTAACTTCACTTGATGTTGTTGACCAAATAGTGATATGTTTTCAGAGCTCTTGTCCTTTTTAAAGATGTCTCTGATGTGTGGTATGTAGGTGGTTGGCAGTCCCTTGGGATGTCTTGGAGACTAATTTCTGAATGTGAACATGTTTGAGATCAATAAAATTCCGTGTCACAAAGGAGGGCTGGAATCCAGTTAGGGTAGGAGACAGTATCACAGGAACAAAGGATTTCTTTACTGCTTTTGACTTTTCAAGCTTTCAAAGTGGAGATTTGGTTTTGTAGTAATATGTGAATGTTGCAAATCTGATCCCAAATTTACCGTACCGATATTTTTTTACCCAACCCTAGATCTTATAGCCCACACTAGTGTATTTTCATAATGTCTTTCTGTGTGTGCATACTTCCTGTACCCACCTGTGCATAACACAGAGATGATAGATTTTGCTTCAGACTTCAGTTCTACTTGAGAATATTGTTGTAAGGGAAGCCTAGGAACTGCATTTACTATTAATTATTCATTAGTACATTTTAAAGAACTCAGTGGTAATTTTAACTCAATCAAATTTCCCATTCATAGTCTCATTTCCTCAATTGGTCAGAACCATTTAAAAGACTTATCGAGCAATCCATTTAGGCTAAGGTGGCTTTAATATTTTACATCATTCCTATTTAGTGCTGCAAATATTTCCTTTTTGTTGCAAACACATGGGACTTTTGACAGTCTGATGGGCTTAAAAGAAAATACACGAAACATTAGACTGGCGAGGGATGCTTTAGTGTTTAGTGCAAAAATGAACATTGTGTCCTGTTTTACAATAATGTTCAGTATCTCTTATGACTTAACATGCTCACAGAAGACTTACCAAAAAGGCAGGGGAGAGAGAGTTTACCTCTGGAATGGTGGAAACATTTTTTCTTTTATATTTACTGATACGTACGTATTTTTCTCTGAAAGTAAATGAAACTGCAAAAGTTCTAAGAGAAAATGAATTTTTCTAATTTTTAAAATCCCACTGACTGCCATTGTGTATGAAATTTGTGCACAGATAGCTAACTTGATACGATGAGGTCTTTTGGTTTCTGTCATGAAAAAATGAGCTGGAGGTGGAATTTGAGAAATGTTTTCTTGCCGGAAACGTCACTGATGCCGAATTTACAGTCTTTTAAATGGTTTTTATTATTCTGTCGGAACAGAGTTGCCAGCCTTTTGATGCACTATCACCCTTCCAGGAATTCCCTGTGCTAACTGCGCTAGATACTTTCAGTTGTTTGCGTGTAGGTTTTCATAACAAAAATGAACTCTTTCAGAAGACTGCTTGCTGTCTGTTGGAGTTTCAGAGGAGATGAATGATTGGGGAAGTATGTGCTAAATATTGAATTTGTTCATTTTATCTTAAGAGAATGAGGGAGTAGACTTAAATATTTCAAGCACTTGAGGAGAAATGGAAGAAGTTCACTAAATAATTGGGCACCTTTTTCCTGTTACCACTATGTCATCCAAATGTTTATCCCTGAAAAGAAAACAGCTGTTTGCCATGACAGTTTAACTTCAGTTTTGTGACTTTGAAAATTAAGTTAATTCTGAGTCACCTCAGAATTTTCTACTTTCATTGCAAAAAATGCACACCATAGCACTGCTGTCCTTTGGAACAGGCTGCACACAGGTTTTTTTTCAGTAGGTTCTGTGATGTCCAAAGAACACTGAAGATTCGCTGTTGATTTTGAACAGTGGAAATGTGAGGTGACCACATTTCTAAACTTAGATTTGCCATCCACCAAATTCTTTTTGGGGTATTTCTGTCCCATGTAATCAAAATCTGATTATGACCTGCTTCCTAATCTGTAAGTCATTCTGAATTCTGAGTCATAGTAAAAAGGTGTGTGTGTGGATGTGGATGCATGTGAAAGGGAGTTAGATGAGGACAAAGAGAGGGGAGCAAATGAAAAAAAAAACTGTACATTTCCTAAAATATCCCTGAATCATGCATTCCCATATTTTACTCATAATTTCCTGGTTTGTCATTTTTTCCTTTTTCATGGTGTCGTGGAGCAAAGGTAGAAAATAAACTATAGATTAAAATACCTCATTTTAGGCAATAAAGCGATACATCTTTAAAAAACAAAAAACAAACAAACAAACCTCATTTTATGTTAGTGGGAGATGAAGGTAGGAATGCCAACTACTCTGGTGAGGGGAGTTTGTTGTATCACTCGTAGTGCTTGTTATGCCAGTTGGCTTTAAATTCCTAATGATTCTTGCTGGTTTTGGGACCTGGGGCTGTGTGAGTTTCATCCGTATTTTAAGTAGATAGTGGTTTGTGTTGAGTAGGTTGGTTCATTAATGAATTGTGTTCAGATGGCAATTTCTGGCTTCAGAATTCAGGACAGCTCCTTTGACGTAGGAGACTTCCTTTTCAGCATGCTCATCTAGATCTTGGGGAACCTTATCTTAATTTTTTTGTTCTTATGTTTATTTTTTGCGTTGTAGCCAAGTTAAGTGACATTTCTCTGTTTTAAGTATTTTTTCCGTGTATATAATTAAATTGAAAGTTAAATTTGAGAAGATGCCCTTACAGAGTAAATTTCAATTTTGGTTCAGTCTTTTCCTTTTTTGTGTGTGTGAAGCAGTCATCTTTTAGGAGGAAAGGGTCATAATCAGAAAAGTCAAAATTCTGAATCAACAGCTAAAAACAAAACTTGCATTTCAGCAAAGAATAAAAGTGTCTCTGAAGCAGTGTTAAACAGAAGGTGGTATTGAATATGCCCACACAAGTGGAGATCCAGTACACCCAGTTCTCTGTTATACTTTGAAAATATTTACAAATTGTGAAAGAAAGTGTTTTCTTTTAAACTTTCACATTCTTAATGTCAGCTATTCCTGGCTCAGGTAATTTCTTAGAGGTTTACGGATGCCTTTGATCGAAAACAAGGTTTAGAGATACCAGAATTACTAAAAGTCGGCAAGAAGCACCGACTGAGCAGTAATTCCCTTTCTTGTGTTGAGTTGATGTTTCAGATTCATCTGAGCTTAATCTTAAAAAAAAAAAAACACCTCTGGATATAACTTTAATGTACAGTACTCACAGAATGAAGTCCGGTCTGCTATTTACTTATTGCTTGTTTTCCAACATGGATTGTCTTTACAAAACAGAAAAGGCTGTTAGACCTTAATTTCCTTAATAATGGAAAATTAGAAAAAACGGTTGTGTCTAACCTGCTTTTCAGTGTGGTTTAGAAATAACTGTAGAACAGAGAATTTT